GAGCATGTTTGGTGGGATGCGGATTCGAACCCGCGACCCTCAGATTGTGAGTCGAGCGCCTTATCCACCTGGCCATGCCGGGCCTAGTACGGTAGTGCTTGCCGGTATTAATTTTGATAATGAGGGACATTTAAGTTCATTTATCTCCCAAAGCGCGTCCTCTAAAGTTTCTTGGGAAAGCGGGACAGGCAGCTCAAAAATCGGGACTGTCCCTCCGAAATCGGGACGTCTGGTCATATCATGTTTATTTCTTTGTTTGCAATTAAGTACAAAGTTACAGAATGGGCTATCTGTGCTCTGTTACACAACGAGTATCGAAACCCGGTTTCTAGCGTTGTACGTCCGCAGACATGCCGCTGTGCCACTGGGGGGGCGTTATATTTACCTTTGATTGGTAGTAAAGGGCAAGGCTGTTCACAGTCAACATTGTATTTCACATCGGTCGAATGTCTACCCGCATACAGTACATTGGACGACACAATATTATTTCAGAAAAAAAAACTTTTATCTTTAAATTAGTTTAGAAGTAAGCATACTTGCAGTGAAAGTTTCAACATTGGTTTGTTTGTTGATAATCGCCAAGCTGCACAATGGGCCATCTGTGTTGTGCCTACAAAGATCCGGTGGTTAGGGAGTTCTACTCACAAGTTAAGATTCGCGGGATCGAAACCCGCTGCCGAACATACTCGCCGTTACAATGTGATAGTTAATCTCACTATTCGTTGGCAAAACAAAAAGAAGCCCAAGAGATGGCGGTTGGTAATGTTGACCATCTGCCTTCTATCTAGTCAAAATTAAGAACGGCTAGAGCCGATAGCCCTAGAGTAACTTTACGCTAAAATGCAACAACAACAGCAGGACAGAATCCAGAATTTTCTAATAGCACTATTGTTTACAGATTAGATACTGGAGAGCAGTTATTTAAGTACAGACATGAAATAATCAGCAAATTAAAACATAAAAGTGGTACGATATCTTAAAATAATAAACGTTGTAAATAATATATTATTTTGGATTAATTATGCAAAATATTCAGCATTAGCATCATTTGAGAGAGAGAAAAAAACTTTTTCTAGCAATTTCGAACTTTCACGTTCTACTACGTAATTCACGAAGGCCTATTTTTTACGTACTCGTCTGCTTTTGCTACATGGTCATCAGTCTAGGTGTAAAATGGGATTTGTTAATTCTATTGCCATTGTTAAAAGTCAGAGGACGCTGCACACGACCAAAGAATGTGTTACAAAAAGGAAAGTGAATTTTAAATTTCGGGAATGACATAAAATATTCACAATTTTGACTTTTTAACCACATATTTTGGAGTGTTTTCAAGGCTATTTAAATTGTCATATAACTGACACACACACACACACATAACAGCCTTTACTGACTGGAAAATAAACCGTAGCTTGAATTGTATATGAAACCACAAAGTGATAATTTAATTGTATTTTGACTATTTTGGTTATCATAAACGTTTTATTGAAATTGTATTAGAAACTATATATGTGTGTATATGTGCGTGTGAGTTTTTGCATGTCTACAGTATTTTACTTAAAATACTTAATCCATTCATTGCGAAGGTCAAAGTTTCTTCGGTGGTACTATACATTCATGGCCTTGGACTGGGAACGATCTCCCCAGCTTAACAAAGACTTTCATGGCAGACCAAGACTGAAGGAAACGACCAATGCCAATGGCCTTCACACATCACTACCCGCCACCTGGTCCCGTTGCCAAGCGGGGACGTTTGACAACAAAGAACTAAAAGCTAGACTATTGTTGGATCTGAACACCATTAGGGTTAGCGTACTCGTTTGAGTTTTGTTTCTACAATGTCAAATATCTTTAAAATCTCCTTAAAAGGTAAAAAAAAAAAAATAGGAGTTAGATTTATGCTAAAACCAATTAACATATTTCGATTTGTAAATTAATATAAATAAAATAAAAAGGAAATGACAATTGCGAGGAAAAAATATGTTCGGCACTCAATTCTCATATGCAAGTTTGATTATCATTATTTATTATGGAAACTACTGACTCAACACTTTTACATACTTAAAATAAACTTTTTTGTAATTTGCTCTTTGTTAAAACAGACTAATTAGAAGTAAATTATTACAGTTGCACACGTCATAACACAGTAATTAATAGCGATACACTTAGTTGGATATATCTACCATTTACAATATGTACACACGTGAATAAAACAAAATAGCACAAAAACGTACAATACAACAGTACTCTTTCTTCAGTGTTAATGTTAGTGAATTAGACTTACCACACAACACCGAATGCCCCATAACCAATAGGTCTATCGGGTTGGATATCCTGGGTTATGGTAACTGGCTGGTGATAGTACGGCTGAGCTGCGGCAAGGATCGCTTGCTGTGGGGTGGCGGGAGCCGCTGGCCCCGGGAAAGCCATCATATGCCGACTCGTTCGTGGTCCCACCACCGCCATTACCCATACAAAATGACTCACTTACTAATTTTTTGAGGCGGTAAGGTATATTGCAAGGCTAAAGACTGCTTATTTATCATATTGCTACAGTGCTAACGTTTATTCCTTAAACTTCATAAATAAAATAAAGTAGTTTTACCAGCCCCTTATACTCGTAAGATATATATGTTTTCTAACACTGTCATTGTATTTCTCGCCCGTCGAAAGCTTCGGCTGCAGACAACACAATGACGATCACGTGATTAAATCAGCCAATGCCTACACTGAATTCGACTACGTAGCGCCATCTCTCAAGAGGCTGTAACACTTTCTTGGTTATTCTTCTAAAAATTTAAAAATCCCTAGTGAAACTGAAAATTATAATTAGACCTCTACATTATATTTTAAGCAGTATAAAATAACTCATTCAGAGCATATCTTCTAATAGTTAACGTAGTATATAAAACGGCAGAATACATTTTGACACTCTTATTACTGTAGAGTGAAATACAGAAACGAATTTCATATAATGTAAGTATGTTTATAAATTAAATAATTTTCTGTTTATTACATGTCAAATAGGGAGAATAAGGGTTACTGTAAAAAGCTGTAATAGTACTTAAACGTTTGTATAACATATATGGATGTTCTTTAATAAGAATATATTCTACGTTAACTGAATATTAATTAATAAAATATTAAGTAATACAGGTTCAATATCTAAAGTATGTTCTAAATAACATAAGTTTAAAAGTACGTAAAATTTTGCGTATGTCTAGTATCTAGACCCAACAAGGAAAATATGTTCTTTAAACATGTTATTTGTAATGCCCTCTAGTGAGCAAAATGTATTTCAATGCAATTATGTTGGAATTCACAACAACACCAAAGTTGCATTTTCTGTGCAGATTTGACCTTATTTTATAATACAAAGTTCATCCTCATTGCTGTACCCTCTGGTGGTGACACCAGATGATATGCAACAGTCTTTAGCTTTGAAATATACATAAGATGTTTCATTAATATATATCATTTACAAAACATAATTAACCAAATTTCCTATTTATTTACACCTATTGTAAAATTACAACGTGTTGGTATAAAAATCCAAAATCTAGTGTTTATCAGACTTTTGAATTGTTTTCTTTTATTACTTTCTTCTGTTCTATAGTGAAAAGTTGCTTCAAAATGACCAGCTTTGAAATTATAAATCATTTAGGTAATCTAGCAATCAATGTATGATAAAAATATGAATGCACGCATTTTAAAGTTATTATGATTTAATGCTATTCAAGTCTAGTTTAGGTTAATGTTATTTCAAAAGGTAGTTCAGGTATCAACTCTTAAAGCAATCAAACACCCAGTTTTTGAACTATTATGGAAGACATAAATTTTAATAACAGTTTATAATATTCAATTTCACATTTTCACGATTCTCGTGAACTGAAACTGAAAAAATAAAAAACTGTAGGCTTGAAATATATTCCGAAAAAATAAATAAATTAGAGACACAGATCAAAGATTAAGCTTTTTTTTAGTTAAATTTTTTACAACAAAAAATATTTTAAAGGTGGCAAATCTATTCTTTGATAGATTGTTTAGGCAGAGTATTCATGATGAAACTTGTTTGTTTTGTTTTTTTAAGTAGGCACAAAGCTACACAATGGGCTATCTGTGCTCTGCCCACCACGGGTATCGAAACCCGGATTCTAGCGTTGTAAGTCCGCAGACATACCGCTGTGCCACTAGGGCATGATGAAACTAAGTTGAATGGACGGCAAATGCCTGTTGTAGAGACTAGGCTGAAGAAAAAAGGCGGAAAACTTTCGAAATGTCGTCCTCTAAACTTGTGTTTCTATAACAGGCAGTTGTCGTTCATTCAACTTATCATAGTTTCATCGTTACAAATCTAACTTAAATGCTTCTGACTTTCAACAAAACAAACACGACTTTTCCTTTTCTAAAAACAACTAAATGAAATCTCATAATGTAAACAAAAATCGAATTATTATATAATGATAATATTGGTATTTTAATGCAAATATCACATTTTAAATACACATTGACTTCCAAGACTATGACTTTAGCACAAAAAAGTAGTATTCACAGCTACTCTGTCTTGGTTTCTTTGCAAAAAAATTGAATACGTTTTTCACAAACAATTTGTTTTTCAACTTTTCTGAACTGCTTCACCAACAAGCAGACCTATGATTTTTGCGGGCCCACAGTCAGCTCTTTGGAAATGGAAAGATTTATAAGACTCAACATACTTCAACTATTAAAGCAATTTTTTTAGGCTTATGGGTAGAAGGCTCACTCTTGCTGTAATGTGTAATTAATCTTACCATTCGGGTTCCCACAGTTGTGGAAAACATAATTCCAGATTAATAATTTATTTTGCATTACTTCAAAAGTACTTATTACAAAAACTTTAACACAAAATTATTTAAGTATTCTATTAATACAATCTATGAGTTCTACAAGTAAAAACCAAGCAGAACATATTTAGCGTCCGGAGTTTTCGAAAAAAAGGAGGGAGTGTCTTTTTTTTTAAAACGACCTCTTTGAAAGAAAGTTTTCATTACTGAAATTGGAAACCATGATAGGTCTACCTGTATATACAGCAGTTACGAAGAAAGCGATGGAGATTTTATGTTTTGTTGGTGTGCTAATTATTGATGAATAGAGCTCTAATTTTCTTGGACAAATAGGTTTGATGTTTTGTTGAGTATATTTAATCAACTGTCACTGGAAGTTTCATGATTTTCATTTTTGCAGTTTTCCTAAGCTCAAGTAAGGCTAGGTTACAAATGGTTTAGCCTAGCATTAGGCCTAATAATATTAGATTGGGCATGTAGGGTTTAAATTTTCCTTTTAGGCTAAAGCTTTAACTATATGCAAACATTCTTCTGTATATTAACGAGAGCTTGATATACTCTGTGTAATTCATAGGACCCTAATTTGGCCTCGGCTAGGCCAGACCAAATTTAAACGTTAGCAAGACGTGACATCGAAGCCGAAAGTTAAAGTAAATTATCATAGGCATAGCATAATATTAGGCTGAATTAAGCGACTTTTATCAACCTCCGATTCAAGTTCTGTGATATTGAAACACCCTAGCGTGGATTTTTCCGTGATACGGCTGCGTTTTATCCCCCATTTCAAATATATTCTAGAAAAAGTTATCTAAAATGAGTGAATTTTATCCCCCTTTTCTGTTACTTGATCTACGTTACCTCACACAGTTTTGTTCTGTTTGCCTGCTATCTCCAACCTGACCTTTTAACTTTCGCTTCCTAAATTTTTCTCCTTTACAAATCTGCCGGAAAGCTAAACAAGTGGACAACATTTTCCGTTCGATTGCTGCAACCCCAGGCAACAAAACAAGGCATTTTAAAATAATTTTTCGGCAAATTCCACTATTTTCTGTGAATCGGATTTTAAGTGCCTTCATAGAAAGCACCGTGTCTTCTACTGTCGAGAAAGTTTGTTCATTCGAAATGTACCTAAAATGGCGCCATTTGGAGGGTGAGAGTGTCAGCTATGGACCAATCAAAAACAGTTACCTAATTATCCAAACTCTCTCTATATATACGGTTTTGCAATATCCAAGTCTGACCAAAGCAAGCTACCTTCTTCCATCAAAACTAAAGTTCAACCTGTTGTTGATAATGATTGTACCTTATTATTATTATATATCATTATGTAACTTATAAAGATTTCAATGCATTGTTTCATCTGTTAGGTACTCTTGCTGTTACCAATATTTTTGGCCACAATCCCAATAATATCTCACATGATATGTGTGGTGAAAATTGTAAACAACTGCAGAGAGTTCAAAGCATAAAGATTCTTGCATTTTGTGGTTGCAAGATATTAGTTATTTGAAAGGAACCGTTTTAAAAAAAAATCCCAGAAATCTGTAAATTGAAGTAATATTTTTTATGTTCCTCTTATACTGATAATCCAGCTATCATTTTCACAAGTCTCAGGCCACCGTCTGTTTGTCGGCCGGTAAAATTATTTCTTATTTACCTCATACGTACGTGAAAGCTCTGATAGCAAGTGAGAACTTACGGTCTCACCGATTTGGAATTTTCTTTCATTTAATGAAAACAGTGGAGTTCCACGTAGGTGTCGCTAAGCGCTGGATCACGGAGCCCGTGCTCCAATTCTATTTGACAGTGCCCCAAATCCCTAGTTGGTGTCTTGAAAAATCAGAATAGATCGATATCATATTGAAAGGACAAAAATTCCCGCACCTATAGGCTCGAGCCCTGAATCTTTTAAACACCTAGCGACGTATTTGCAAGATAAATAAAAGTTAGAGAATACGAAGTTTGTTTCTTTTTATCACTATTGGTTATAAAGAATCACTTAACAAAGATTAATGGTTGTTTCTCTTTATCACTATTGGTTATAAAGAATCACTTAACAAAGATTAATGGTTGTTTCTCTTTATCACTATTGGTTATAAAGAATCACTTAACAAAGATTAATGGTTGTTTCTCTTTATCACTATTGGTTATAAAGAATCACTTAACAAAGATTAATGGTAGATGGGACAGTTTCATAAGAACAGATTCATTGAGTTCCTTCAGGGTTAATCATTACTATACCTCTATAGATATATTTATAAACAATTACAATAAGAAGGAGACTTCTTTCGTTGTTAATGACATTTATCTAAAGATAATTTCGCTTCAGTCCTCAAAAAGAGTGGATGAAAATATGATTCCATGTAACTTTACAATTATTACTTTTGTTCTTGTTACGTAACTTTGTAAGTGTAGAGAGAGTTATTGGTTCATTTTTATGTTTGTTTGTTTACTCATTAGGGAAATACCTAAAACGTTGAAACTTGTACGACTTATAGCATCTCAAACACTTGTCATAGCATAACAAACCTTTTCATTAATATGACGAAAGGTTTTACCAGCAACATACCGCTATTCTTAGCCTGTAATATTTTCTACCAAAACAATTACTGTACTTGGATTGAATAAAAATAAAACGATTTTAACCAATTATATGAGAGTACAATAAAGGCCTCAGGTTATAGTTGAAAGACATCTAATATTTCACTCTTTAATATCATTTATTGTTCTAATTGTAACTTAATACACAGGTATGTTTATTAGTTTGCCGTTTTAATTTCGTTCAAACACATGTTTGTTTAAACGCAAGAACGTTTTGTCGAAATCTTCTACCCCAGAATATA